GTGTGTGTGTGTGTGTGTGTGTGTGTGTGTGTGTGTGTGTGTGTGTTATCTAGGAAGGCCTCAGCGCAGAAACCTGCTCTGGAGCGGCATGTGGGCCAACTGCCCAAACTGCATTGTTTTCCAGGAAGTAGAGCCGCCTCTGAGAGAGAGCGACTCTGAGGACTCGCTCAATAGATACATGCTGTACGGTAAGCTGCTGGCAGCTAACAGGCTAACAGCTAACAGGCTAACGTGTTAAAAAACCTCCACATGATATAAGCTGTCTTGATTAAATAATTAACTCTTGTCGTCCATCACTGTGCCGTCTTCAAACATTTTAGCTCAGTTCAAATGTTTTTGTGTTAAACTGACTGAAAGGCCCAACTTCAATGAAGGTTTTATCAGAGTCCATCATCAGCGCTCTACAGAAGGAATTCCCACAGCACCGCAGTCATCTGGTTTCCACACGTCCACATTTAGCCTCTAATTAAGACGAGTACACCTGGACACTACATTTCCTTCCTGCTCTCAGTACAGCCGCTTTAACCCACGCTGCTTCACTTTGTTTCTCTTTCGAAACTGCTTTTAAATTTAGAAGCAGACCAAAAATAAAAACATTGTTTTTGTTTCCATTCAGTCGGTTTTATCACGAAGTGTTGTGGAAGCTAAGTTTTAAACGTTTTTTCTTTAAAGCTCGACAGACGGACTCAGACTCTGACATCACCACAAGTTTTGTAAAAAACTCGGCCTGTCGGAACCTGAAGCAGAGCATCAGACTGCCTCAGGAAAAAGGTTTGCCTCTAAAATAATCACTGAGAAAATCCTGTTTCCTTCTTTCTTCACTGAAATCATTTTGTGTTTGTTTCCAGAGTTCTGCTTCTAAACGAAGGTGGGCTCAGTTATTCCATAAACCAGCTCCTGTTCCTGTATTTATCCACAACGCTGGGCTCTTCTTGTTTTTACAGGATTCGTCTCTTTACTGCGCAGAAGTCAAATAAACCAATAACGTCCAATTATTTTATCTGGCTTTTATAACAAGTTTCATCTGTAAAAAGCATCAGTTTTATTGAAGTGTAGACTAAGAGTAACAAAAATCAAGGATCTAAATAAAACTTCTCCGCTGTTCATGGCTGTCACTTTCATTCCTGAGAAGCTGAGCTGCAGCAGGTTCAGAAAAAGAACCGTAGAACTGGGGGAGTACCTGCAAACATACACCCACAAAAAACCCAGGAAATCCCAGTAAAAACTGAAACACAGGTTCAGATAACTTCTGAAGTATTTCCTTTCAGCCACTTGGATCCAGGATCCACACATTGTCATCACAATCATTCAGAGGGCAAACTTCCAGGATTATAAAGTCTTCAACATGAAGCAAAAACTCCCAGAACAGAGGGAGAATCCAGGACAGTGGACTTCACTGAAGGTCTTAAAGGGATCCATGATTAGTTGTAACATTAGACTTTATTTGATAAACATTTATTTTAATTGTAAAATAAAGACAGTAAAAATACTGTAGGCTGTTCAGTTTTTATAATTTTTAAAAATGTATTTTAACTCAGACTGAGCCATTTTATTTACACACAAAGCATTGAGGGTAAATGATGTGGATAGCTCTACGGTGTGAGGCTGCTAGCGTTTTTATGGGCATGCTAGTCGCTAGCCTCTCTGATGCAACCGCCAGCTAACCATGCTAGTCGCTAGCCTCTCCGATGCTATTGCCAGCTAATCCATGCTAGTTGCCAACCTCTCCAATGCAAATTAAGAAGAATCAGGAATCGTTTACTGTCATTCAAACACAACATCAAGATGTAATGCAGAACGAAATTTGCAGTTTTGAACATCCGTCGGGAGAAACACATGACAGACACGGGGGAACGAATGTCCAGGGCCCTGTGCAACGGCGTGCGCTGCCTTGCAGTTTGGAATACACACACACATAGGAAGGATGAGTTAAAAAAAAGAACTTTGATCTTGTGTTTAGCAAACATAAGCAAACGAGCATTGTTCGAAAAAAACTACTCTGCAGACGGAAGCAGAGGCAGTTAAGCAGCGAGGGGATGCGGGGGGTGGGGTTACAGGATAAAAAATATGGACGGAGGAGGGGATTGTGGAGGAACCGGTGATGTCAAGGGCAAGTGCCTGCCCCATACAGAGACCTCCATAGTCCAACTGATGTTATCCCACGCATACAGTTCCACAGAGTCCATATCTCTGTGTGGAGTTCAGTTCTCTATTCCAACTCCATGGCCTTGTCTGGGGACAGACACAAGATAAACGATGGGGAAGGATCATGTCTACCACCCACACATATCTTCGTTCAGGGAGTTCTTTACCAGTCTGCGCCCAAGGACACATCCAATGGTGAAAAAAAAAGAAAAGGCTTTAGGACAATAGCAGAATGCTTTCCATTACCATTTGAGTCCTTACTGTATCTATGTGTTGCAAAAAATGCCAAATATTCCAGATCAATTACCATCTCGCCATCTCCCGTAAGAACTTCACCCAGATGATGTCCTCACTCCTCGCGCCGCTGAGCTGCGATCCTAGTTAGCACTGCATCCAGTTTGCGATTCAGTTCTCCCATAATTTGAGTCTGTGTGTTCTGCATATGAGAGATCCCATCCAGGGACACTGACAGCTTCTCACAGGATCGAATCGCTGCCAGCGCCATTCTCATTTTCCGATAAACCAAAACTCCTCCACAGCCGAACAGCAGGAATCCGGTTATCATGAAGCCAAATATAAAAATATATCCGACATCCTCAATGGACAGAGGTGTCAGCCAGATCAACTTCCAGGACCCCCAGCTTCCCGAAACTCGCCCTGCCGGCATCGTTCCAGTGGGGCAGGAGCTCTCCCCATGCTCCAATCTCAAAGTGAAGAAAATTGTGTCAATTGCATTCAGAGACCAGTTGACCAGATMCATAATTCCAGTTTCTCGAATGATAGGTAGAAGGAAGACAAGATCCAGCACAGCAACAAAGCAGGGGAATGAGGGAGATGCAGGAGAAAGAGCAGAAACGTCCAACCCCTCCAAGAGCCAAGCAGAAAAATGCCATCTTATCCATGCTAGTTGCTAGCCCAGATGATGGAGCCCAATCTCATGACCGTCTGTGAGGGTTGGATTATCGTTGGACCAGTAAATCCAGATCTTTACCTCTCAGCTCCTTCTTCACTCTGACAGACCAGAGCAGCATCCTCGTTACTGCAGACAAGATCCAGATCGGTCTTTTCCACAAACTGTAGAACCTGTAAGACTTAACTTGATCAATAATAACATTAAACTACAGCGGGTAAAATAAGTATTGAACACATCAACATTTTTCTCAGTAAATATATTACTAGAGGTGCTAATGACATGAAATTTTCAAGTGATCCATACATACAAAGAAATCAAACCATAAATGTCCAGAAATGAAGTTATTTGTAATAATGTGGAATGGCACAGGGAAAAAGCATTAAACACGCTTACTGAAATTTATCTTATACTTTGTACAAAAGCCTTTGTCAATGACAGCTTCAAGAGGCCTCCTGTATGGAGAAACTAGTCGCAAGCATTGCTCAGGTGTGATTTTGGCCCATTCTTCCACAAAC